TTCTCCAAAGCACCTTTGAGGGCCAGACAAGGAACAATGGATGGAAACTGATCAAGGAGAGATTCAACCTGGAAATAAGGAGGAATTTTCTGACAGTGAGAACAATCAACCAATGGGACAGAAGTTGCCTTCAGAAGTTGTGGGAGCTTCATCCCTGGAAGCTTTCAAGAAGAGATTGGATCAGAAATGGTGTAGGGTCTCTCCTGCTTGGGCGGGGGGCTGGACTAGATGACCTCCAAGGTCCCTTCCTTCCAACTATTAATCTGTTAAAATCCTTCTTTTGTCTGGGTTGTTGGTCAAGTCAGCTTTTAGCAAAACCCACAATTACAGCTTCTTCCGCCAGACTTCAATGATGGGTAAAACAGCCCAGTAAAATTGTAGGACACACAACTCAACCTTCCCTAAAAGCCATGTTAAATGGCCATTGCCCTGCGGAGAGGAGAATAAATTTCTTTGACAAAATGTTTCTCTAAAAAAAACAACATTTTGTTGGAGAAAGATGCTACCCCCGGAGCAATATTATTGGATGACTGTTTCGATAACAGATTAGCTGCGTGGAAAAAAAATATGCAGAAAGACTCCAGATATTACAGTTAAGAATGATAGATCTTTACGGGTGCTTCGGCGAGAAATGAAAAACAGCCACGCTGCTAATCTCTAATTTTTGCAGAGAGCTTGCAAAAAGGACGAAAGTAAAATCTTAAACTAGGGAGGAAACGTGCAGAGGTAGCTCTTCAAGACACAGAGCATCCAAAATTGCTATTATAAATTACAAGGGCTGCATAAAAAGAGGGATAGAATCAAAATCACGTGAAATGTTAATACCACTTTATAATGCCTTGGTAAGGCCACACTTGGAATATTGCATTCAGTTTTGGTTGCCACGATGTAAAAAAGATGTGGAGACTCTTAGAAAGAGTGCAGAGAAGAGCAACAAAGATGATGAGGGGACTGGAGGCTAAAAGATATGAAGAACGGTTGCAGGAACTGAAAAGAAGGACTAAGGAAGACATGATAGCAGTGTTCCAATATCTCAGGGGCTGCCACAAAGAAGAGGGAGTCAAGCTATTCTCCAAAGCACCTGAGGGCAGGACAAGAAGCAATGGGTGGAAACTCATCAAAATTTCCTGACAGTGGGAACAATTAATCAGTGGAACAACTTGCCTGCAGAAGTTGTGAATGCTCCAACATTGGAGATTTTTAAGATGATGTTGGATAACCATTTGTCTGAAGTGGTGTAGGGTTTCCTGCCTAAGCAGGGGGTTGGACTAGAAGACCTCCAAGGTCCCTTCCAACTCTGTTATTCTATTCTATTCTATTCTATTCTATTCTATTCTATTCTATTCTATTCTATTCTATTCTAAATACAAAATGGCTCTTTCTTTTGAGATGTGGAGCGTTGACAGCAGATGGACTTTCAAGAACCTGAGTCAAAAGTCAATCAAGCATATTTGAAGATGGCCAGATTTGAATTTTGCTGCTTTGGGATGTCAAAAATCTGGACTTTTCTGGGTTAATCAGGAGATGCTGGGTTCTTCTTGCTTGTAAACAACAGAAGTTGTAAGGTTCTGGTCATTTTTATGCCTAGATACCCTTCTGAGAGTCAATCATCAGCCGGGACTTAGTGTAAATCAGTGGGGTTTTTTTTTAAAGTTGGTCCCTTCAAGAGGTGTGGACTTCAATTCCCAGAATTTCCCAGCCAGCCATGAGAAGGAGGAGGAAGAGGAAGGCAGGAGGAGGAGGAGGAGGAGAACTGTGGGGTCCTTGGTGATTTCTGAGCTTGATGGTTTTCTTGTAGCTGTTTCATGACCCAAACTAGGTAGCATCATCAGTGTTAGAAAGGAGCGGGCTTTGTAGAGAAGAAGAGGACAAGGAGAATGGGGGGGGAGGAGGAGGAGAAGGAGGAAGAGGAGGAAATGGAAGAGGAAGAGGAGGGGGATTGTGGGGTCCTTGGTGGTCTCTGAGCTTGATGGTTTCCTTGTAGATGTTTCATTACCAAACTATGTAACTGCATCAGTGCTGATGACATATTTCCATCACATGTCCAGCATTCTGTGTGCAACTAACAAAAAGACCCCTGTAGCAACTCCCAGTGTCAACTACTCTCTGAGGAGCTGGTAGAATAAGTTGAGAAGATCTGATGGGAACAGGAGAAGGGGGTCTCTTTGAGTAAGTGTTTTCAGTAACAAGGAGCACCTTTGATTAATGTTTCTAGCTAACTAAGTAAGAACGCAGATTCTGATAAGAACTGGATCCAAATAACCAGAGATGAGAACTGCCTATTAAGTTGACCTTTTTGAACTTGGAAGTTGAGTTCTCAGGTTATTAAACTCATTTTAATGTGGGAAACACGCCTCCTGGATTTGTAATTAGGCATTAACAAGATCATGCTAAGAAAATTATGGCCTGATATAAATTATTACATGGTACATCAGAGGTGAAATCCAGCAGGTTCTGACAGGTTCTGGAGAACCGGTAGTGGAAATTTTGAGCAGTTCAGAGAACCGGCAAATGCCACCTCTGGCTGGCCCCAGGAGTGGGGAGGGAATGGGGATTTTGCAGTATCTTTCCCCAGGAGTGGGGTGGGAATGGAGATTTTGCAGTATCCTTCCCATCCCATGCCCACCAAGCCACACCCACAGGACCGGTAGTAAAAAAATTGGATTTCACCACTGTGGTACATGTATAGTTTCTGGCCATGTTCTCTAGATGCTTGATGACTCAAGTGATGTTGGCCAACTGGAGAACACATTCAAAACCCAACTGAACTGCATATAAAATGATTCCTCCCCTTTATAAGGATCTTCTTACAGTGGTGCAGTGGCCTAGAGGTGGAGCTCTCGCCTCACAATCAGGAGGCTGTGAGTTTGATCCTAGATAGCGGCAGATATTTCTCTCTCTGGGCACGATGAGAATATATCTGCTGCGAACTCTGCATTGGAGATAGGAAGGGCATCCGGCCAGTAAACACTCAACAGCTCCATTCAGTTGCCCAGAGTCCACCCCGTTGTAAGGGATTACGGGGTCATAAAAAGACAATAAGGATCATCTCCCCTTGAAACTATGGGAGATCTATCTTCTTACTTAAGCATAAATAAAAAGATATTAATCTACCTCTCTAGCTCAGATGCTATTTTAGCAGAAAGGACACCAGGCTAAAAACCTTTCTGTGGTTTATGGCTCACTCATCCATCCGTAGGCAGAGTTGGAAGGGACCTTGTAGGTCATCTAGTCCAACCCCCCAACCAAGTGGGAGACCCTACACCATTTCTGACAGAGGGCAGTCCAGTCTTTTCTTGAAAGCCTCCAGTGATGAAGCTCCCACAACTTCTGAAGGCAACTTCTGTTCCGTCAGTTGATTGTTCTCACTGTCAGAAAATTCCTCCTTATTTCCAGGTTGAATCTCTCCTTGATCAGCTTCCATCCCTTATTCTACATCTGGCCCTCAAAGGTGCTTTGGAGAATAGCTTGACCCCCTTCCTCCTCTCTGGGGCAGCCCCTCAAATATTGGAAGACTGTCTCCCGTGGTCCTTCTCTTCACTAGACTAGCCAGGCCCAGTTCCTGCAACCGTTCATCGTATGTTTTAGCCTCCAGTCCCCTCATCCTCTTGGTTGCTCTTCTCTGCACTTTTTCTAGAGTCTCAACATCTTTTTTTATAGTGTGGGGACCAAAACTGGATGCAGGACTCTAGGTGTGGTCTTAGTAAGGCTTCATAGAGTGGTATTAGTACCTCCCTTGATCTGAATTGTATCTCCTTGTTAATGCAGTTTAGGATTGCATTGGCTTTTTTGGCTGCCACCGCACACAGTTGGCTCCTATTTAGCTGGTTGTCCACTAGGACTCCAAGGTCCCTCTCACAGTCACTGCTATTAAGCCTGGTTTCTCCCAATCTGTATGTGTATAGTGTATATGTGTATATATGCTTCCAAACTCTTGGTTGAAAACAAAGGTCTCACCCAGGATCACACAAAGACACCCAACACTTTGCCCTTCTTCAAAGACCCATCCAATGCTTTTCTCGGCCTCCACATCTACCCTATGGATTGAGGGGACCCTAATTTGAACCCTGACCTTCTCTACGGATCGTTGGGAAGCCTTGATCTCTTCTTGCCATGACAGGCTCTCCCTCCTCAAGGAGCTCTCCACCACGGCCGGGACATGGAGAAGGTTGCTACTCTTCATTTTGTCCTTGGAGCTCCAAGCTGCCTGTCAAGACACGAGATCCAAGGTTTATGGAGATTCTCTGGTTGTGCCAAAGGTGCTTTTTTCAGGAGGCAACTGGACTTTGCTTTTCCTTGAAGACGTTTCGCTTCTCATCCAAGGAGCTTCTTCAGTTCTGACTGGATGGAGGGGAAGGGAAGGATTTATATTCTTTGCAGTCATCTGGTCATTAGTGCTCTCTCTGAGTCATTGAGGCCACTTGGGGGTTTATCTGTATGCTGTATCCAAGTGGCCTCAATGATTCTCAGAAAGAGAGTGCTAAAGTCCAGCGAACTGGAAAGAATATAAATCCTTCCATTCCCCTCCAGCCAGTCAGAACTGAAGAAGCTTCTTGAATGAGAACCGAATAGTCTTCAAGGAAAACAAAAAAACCCAAGATCACATGCAGTGACCCCAGATCACATGCAGTATCATACCCCTTGCCTCCCCTTCTTCAAAGATCCATCCATTGCTCTTCTCGGCCTCCACATAGGATTGAAGAGACCATAATTTAAAATATCCTTTGCAACCTGCTTGGTGATTAGTTATTCTGTTCTATTTTGTAATGTATTCTGTCCTGTCCTGTCCTGTCCTGTCCTGTTCTGTTCTGTTCTAATCCATTGTTCTGTTCTGCAATCTATTCTGTTTTTTATTCGATTCTGTTTTGTAATCTATTCTATTCTGTATTTTTTTTCTTTTCTATTCTGTTCTAATCTATTCTGTTGTTCTGTTCTGTTCTATAATCTAGTCTACTTTATTCTGTAATCTATTGTTCTGTATTCTATTCTATTTTGTAATCTATTCTGCTGTTCTGTTCTTCTGTTCTTCTATTCTATTCTGTTCTGTTCTGTTCTGCTCTGCTCTGCTCTGCTCTGCTCTATTCTATTCTATTCTTGTTCTGTTCTGTTCTGTTCTGTTCTATAACCTATTCTACTTTACTCTGTAATCTATTGTTCTGTATTCTATTCTATTTTATAATCTATTCTGGTGTTCTGTTCTCCCATTCTGTTCTGTTCTATTTTATTCTCTTCTATCATTCTGTTCTCTAGTCTAGTCTAGTCTGTAAGAGTTGTGTTTGAAAAAAGAATCCCTGTCCAATTTAGGCAGAAGAGAAGAACGCAAAGCTTTCGCGCTCTCTCCTGTAGGGTTAATTCATCGCTCAATCTATTTATTTATTTATTTATTTATTTATTTATTTATTTATTTGTCATATTTCTATGCCGCCCACTCTCCGAGGACTCTGGGCGGCTTACACCAAAGACAGTCTACTAAATAGCATATTGCCCCCAACAATCTGGGTCCTCATTTTACCCACCTCGGAAGGATGGAAGGCTGAGTCAACCTTGAGCCACACAATCTATGACACACACCCAAATTGTGGGAGATGTTTCAGCCCCACGTTCCAGGAAGGAAAAACCACAAACCCCCCCCACAACGGGGCAACATGAGAGAAGCTGAACGCAATTCCAGGAGTCACCCCAAGAGCTCTCCACACAGGTCTCCTGGTTTTAACATCAGCCAGGAGCCCAAGAAGGCTCAAGTCCAGGTCCTTCCTCCATCTCTATCTCCATCATCTCCATCTCCATCGATCTTCCAGGACCACCCATACCTGGGGCTTCGTGGTCTGGCTTCCAAACACAGCTGAAGAGGGGCGCTTGGGGGGACCAGAAGGTGCGACGAGGGTTTTCGCGCTGGTGGGCCGCACAGGGTGGGCTGAGGTTGAGGTGGTCTGTAACCTTGGATAGGCCCAGTACTTCTTCTCATTCTCACTTGGCTGGGTCTCCACCTTCTTGGCCTCAGCACTCTGGTGAGGGGGCTCTGCACTCATGGCGAACTCCTAAGTTGAGAAACGAGACGGTCTCATTTCGAAGACCGATAAAAGCTCCAGAAAAGATATTTGATGCAACAGCTGTTTCAGGAAGTTTAATCGTAAGAAAGACACCCAATAAGCCATCATTATAAGTACATACTGTATCTACATAGGATAGGAACCGGAAATATCTCACAGGAGCAGCTGAAGGCAGCTTCTCGAGAGGCAGGGAATGCATCTCAGACTAATCCTGCCAACACAGCAGACATAACTTCTGTAACATCTTCCCTTTTCATATTAAGACAACTAACACACAATAAAACAGTCTAAAACCTTATTAAAACATTATAAACCCTTATTAAACCTTACAAACCTTATAAAACATTGTGAAACATGCAAAGTTCCGATGCAAGCAACTATAACATCTTCCCCTTTCATATTAAGACAACTATCACATATTAAAACAATCTAAAACATTGTAAAAAAGTTCAATTGTAAAAGGGAACAATATCAATAACTTTCTACAAATTAAGTCTGTCAGGGGGTCGCGAACATCAGCCACTCTGGGTGATGACTGGCCCTCTTGCGCCAACTGAGGAAAGAAAGAAAGGATGGAAGGATGGAAGGAAAAGGAAGGAAGGAAAAGAAAGAAAGAAAGAAAAAGAAAAAAGGAAGGAAGGAAGGAAGGAAGGAAGGAAAAGAAAGAGAAAAGAAAAGAAAAAAGGAAGGAAGGAAAAGGAAGGAAGGAAAAGAAAGAAAGGATGGAAGGATGGAAAGGTGGAAGGAAAAGAAAGAAAGGAAGGAAGGAAAAAGAAAGAAAGAGAAAGGATGGAAGGATGGAAGGATGGAAGGAAAAGGAAGGAAGGAAGGAAGGAAAAGAAAGGAAGGAAGGATGCAAGGATGGACGGAAAAGAAAGGAAGGAAGGAAGGAAAAGGAAGGAAGGAAGGAAAAGGAAGGAAGGAAGGAAAAGAAAGAAAGGGTGGAAGGGTGGAAGGAAAAGAAAGAAAGGAAGGAAAAGAAAGAAAGAAAAAGAAAAAGAAAAAAGGAAGGAAGGAAGGAAGGAAGGAAGGAAGGAAGGAAGGAAGGAAGGAAGGAAGGAAGGAAAAGAAAGAAAGAAAGAAAGAAAGAAAGAAAGAAAGAAAGAAAGGGTGGAAGAGTGGAAGGAAAAGGAAGGAAGGAAGGAAGGAAGGAAGGAAGGAAGGAAGGAAGGAAGGGGAAAAAAACAAGCTCAGGGAGCATCAAGGACCCCATAAATGTCCTCCTCCTCTCCTTCTCCTCTTCTTCTTCCTTTCCACAAACCCCCCTCCCTTCAAGCACTGATGACGTTCCCTAGTTGGATCATGAAGCATCATGAAAACCACCAAGTTCCAAGAGCACCAGAGACCCCACAGTTCAATCCCAAACTAAACATATTCCGTCCTATTGGCTTCCACCTTATTCTGGAGGAAGGGGTCCCTTGAGGTAGCCATGGAAGTCCAGCTCTTGGCCAGGGGCCAAAGGAACCCCACCACCACCACCATGGAAGCCCTCTGCACCTACCCGTTTGGGAGCGAGCGGCAGGGGACTCTCGGAGGCGTTGAAGCGGCAGAAGGCTTGCCCAGAGTTGACGTACCAGAGGACAATGTCTCCGTTGCTGGAGGAAGTGACCAGGAGCTTATTGGCGTACCCATCCATGGAGATGATGTCCTCCGCGTGGTAGGACTTCCAGTGCTTGCATTCAATCACGTTGTTCTCGTCTTTGGAGTCTCTGCCCAAAAGGAGGAAAGAACCTCATCACCCCAGAGTTAAAATAAGGGGAAGGACCAGGCATCTCTCCTCCTCCCCCCTCCCAACAAGAGAAAGACAGAAGAGCCATCCATCCAACCCTTCTTCTCAGTTTCTATCCTCCCCACAGACTTCATCTTTCTCCTCCTCCTCTCTGCAAACCCCACTCCCTTCTAGCACTGCTGATGTTCCCTAGTTGGGTTATGGAACGTCTGCAAGAAAACCACCAAGCTCAGAGACTACCAAGGAACCTACAGTCCTCCTCCTCCTCCTCCTCCTCCTCTCTAAAATCCCCTTCCCTTCTAGCCCTGATGATGTTCCCTAGTTGGATTATGGAACATCTGCACGAAAACCACCTAAGATCAGAGACTACCAGGGACCTCATAGTCATTGTCATTCTCCTCCTCCTCTCTGCAAACCCCACTCCCTTCTAGCACTGATGATGTTCCCTAGTTGGGTCATGGAACATCTGCAAGAAAACAACCAAGCTCATAGAGCACCAAGGACCCCACAGTCCTCTCCTCCTCCTCCTCCTCCTCCTCTTCACCCCACTCCCTTCTAACACTGATGATGTTTCCTAGTTGGGTCATGGAACATCTGCAAGAAAACAACCAAGCTCATAGAGCACCAAGGACCCCACAATCCCCTCCTCCTCTTCCTCCTTCTCCTCCTCTTCCTCCTCCTCCCTGCAAACCCCCACTCCCTTCTAGCACTGATGATGTTCCCTAGTTGGGTCATGGAACATCTGCAAGAAAACAACCAAGCTCATAGAGCACCAAGGACCCCACAGTCCCCTCCTCCTCCTCCTCCTCCTCCTCCTCCTCCTCTTCACCCCACTCCCTTCTAACACTGATGATGTTTCCTAGTTGGGTCATGGAACATCTGCAAGAAAACAACCAAGCTCATAGAGCACCAAGGACCCCACAGTCCCCTCCTCCTCTTCCTCCTTCTCCTCCTCTTCCTCCTCCCCTGCAAACCCCACTCCCTTCTAGCACTGATGATGTTCCCTAGTTGGGTCATGGAACTCTGCAAGAAAACCACCAAGCTCAGAGAACAACTCTGGGAAATATCCGTAACTCCACTCTCAGTTACAAATATTGTCTTCTGTTGGTCTTTTCTGGTTCAGAGAAAGCCATCTCCAGGGTTCAGAGAGCAGGGCCTTCTCAGTTCTTCTCAGAAAGCCTGAAACCCACTAAAGCAAGTTCTGCATCTGAAATGGTGACCCCAGCTGGGCGACTTCTTCCCACCCTGTTCCTGGAGTATTTGTCCTCAGGAGCTCTGGGTGAAAAAGCAGAGGCCGTATCATCCAACCCAACCCAATCATTCTTCTCTTCCTCACTGTTTCTCCTTCCCCCTCCCCCCCATCTGAAAACAGAAAAGTTCTCCCAAGTTGGCTTTGACTTACCGGTACCACGTCACTCTCTTGGTCCAATCTGTGATAAAAATCCTGTGGTTCATGTAAAAGATGCAGTTGGTCTATTGGAAAGAGAATGAAAAGAGGAGGAGGAGGAAAGAGGGTAGGAAGCAATCTGCATGGACCATCCATCAATGAATCAGAAGAGGGCTGGAAGGGACCTTGGAGGTCTTCTAGTCCAACCCCCTGCTCAAGCAGGAGACCCTATACTGTTTCATACAACTGGCTGTCCAGTCCCTTCTTAAAAAGGAGGTCAACTTATTTTCCAAAGGACCTGAGGGCAAGAGAAGAAACAATGGATGGAAACTAAACAAGGAGAGAAGCAACCTGGAATTAAGGAGAAACTTACTAACAATGAGGACAATTAACCAGTGGAACAGCTTGCCACCAGAAATCGTGGGCGCTCCATCGCTGGAGGTTTTTAAGAAGAGACTGGACAGCCATGTGTCCAGAAGGAAACTATGTCTCACTTATTTTGGTCATGTCATGCAGGAAAATTCACTGGAGAAAGCAATTATAGTTGGAAGAGGTCAACAGAAACATGTCTTTTCAGGAGGCAACTGGGCTTTCTAGTTTTTTCTTTGAAGACATTTTGCTTCTCATCCAAGAAGCTTCTTCAGCTCTGACTGGATGTGGGGAATAGAAAGATTTATACTCCTTGCAGACATCTGGTCATTTGCATCTTTTTAGAGAGTCGTTGAGGCCACTTGGAGGTTTGTCATGTCCTCAGGGTCACCTAGTGGTGCAAATGGGTGTGGAGCCTTCTTCAAATCTGCAGATGTCTCACTGCATTATACTGTGTGCCCCAAGGATAAATCACCCAGACACAAACCGAGCAACGTGGTATAAGCAGTACAATGCAGTGAACATTGCAGTTCTGAACATTGGGGAAACAAAACAACCACTTCACAAACGCATGGCACAACATAGGAGAACAAACACATCAGGACGAGATTCAGCAGTCCATCTGCATTTAAAAAGACAAAGGCCGCTCTTTTGAAGACAGCAAAGTCCACATTTTGGACAGAGAGGACCACTGGTTTGGAAGAGGGGTCAAAGAGGCCACCTGTGTCCAAACTGAACAGTCCACAGTCCACAGTCCTATAGATGTGACTGGGAAAAAATGGTCCATCAAATAACTTGGTCCAAAACCCTATACTGAGCGACCTCATATATGTAGTACAATGCAGTGACCCATGTGCAGTTCTGTACATTGGGGAAAAAAAACAACCACTTCCCAAATCCATGGCACCACATAGGAGAACAAACGCATCATGACTAGATCCAGCAGTCCATCTTCATTTAAAAGGCAAAGGCCCCTCTTTTGAAGACAGCAAAGTCCATGTTTTGGACAGAGAGGGATGCTGGTTTAGAAGAGGGGTCAAAGAGGCCATCTGTCAGGGTTCCAAGTATTAGATCCATCTCAAGCAAAAACTCCAAGGCAGTTAGATTCCTGAAAGTATTGTTTTATTGGAAATATCATATTGGCACATATCTGGTGAAAACTGACATTGAAGGGATTCCATAGTTTTCACCTAATTAAAAGTAAAAATTTTGCCCCCAATTCCAAACAATCAGACACATGGCCCAATCAAGGCAGCGTCTGCTGGTCAGGTGTCATCACTCCTCCTTCCTACTACCCCCAACTATCTCTAATCTCTCCCCCCCCCCACATCCCTCAGCTGCAGTGTGGCAGCACTGAAGCTCCCAGATGGCTTCAACCAAGCCAGCTTCAGGGTTGACACCATCTATGTCAAAATTGACATAGCTCTCCCTCAACAGAGGGGCGAGGGGATACGACGTCATCTACCTCCAGTCTACAACACAACTCCTTTCAGCAGTTCCAAGAAGGCTCCACCCCCATTTGCACCACTCAGGTGACCCTGAGGACACAGGTAAACCTCCAAGTGGCCTCAATGACCCTCTAAAAGGATGCAAATGACCAACTGTCTGCAAGGAATGTAAATCCTTCCATTTCTCCACCATCCAGCCAGAGCTGAAGAAGCTTCTTGGATGAGAAGTGAAATGTCTTCAAAGAAAAAACAGAAAGTCCAGTCGCCACTTGGAAAAAAAGCACCTTTGGGACCTTGGGATCAACCTTGGTCCTTCCACCCACCTCAGTCTTCTCCTCAATGGGAATCTCCATCAGGCAAGCCCCGTTGTTGAAGTTCCACAGTTTGATCATCCCGTTTTTCAGAGCGGTGATGAGTCGTCGTTCTGGCGGATCAAAGATCATGGCGCTCATCTCCAGGGCTTGGTCTGAGGTGGTGGTGAACTCCATAATCTTCTGTCCTGTCATGACATCCCAAACAGTGACCATCCCGTTGTAATAACCGCTGACTGCCTGTGGGGGAAAATGTCCCAGAATCAATTGGGTCAGATGGTCCAATTGGGGTTGGACTAGAAGACCTCCAAGGTGCCTTCCAATTCTGTTGTTGATGGAGCTTCTCCGTCATCCAAGTCACGGTTGTCCCAAAGGTGCTATTGTTTCAAGAGGCAACTGGACTTTCTGGTTTTTCTTTGAAGGCGTTTCTCTTCTCATCCAAGAAGCTTCTTCAGTTCTGACTGAACAGTGGATGAATCCTTCCCTTCCCCACCATCCAGTCAAAGCTGAAGAAGCTTCTGAGATGAGAAGTGAAATGTCTTCAAAGAAAAACCAGAAAGTCCAGTTGCCCCTTGAAAAAGCACCAATTCTGTAATTCTCTTCTGAAGTGTGAAATGGGAACCCACTCTCATTAACACTACTCCATGTTTACATATTTAACATTTAAGTGAAACAACCCAGCTGTCTGAGGTAACTTACAAAATGGCGGACAGCCCCTCGAATATTGGAAGATGCCATCATGTCCCCCTAATCCTCCTCTTCATTAATCTAAACATACCCAGTTCCTGCAACCGTTTTTCGTATTTTTTATATATAAAATTGTTTTTATTTTTTAAAACATAAACATATAATACATCTTTTCAAAATGAAGCATTGATCCGGTCATAAATTGGTACAAATCACTAACAAATCTTAATTTTCAATTAACACAACTTAATATTTTACTCAATTATTTCCCTAAATTCTATCTATTTAATAAGGCCGTTATCCCAAAAACCCATTACTTAAATCTTTAAATCCTAACCAAATATCATATCATTTTTCTTTTTCTTTTTACTTAGATGAATGTATTTTTAAAATATAAATCATTACAATTATTATAAGCCTTTAAACAATATTTTAACTGTTGCTCCCAATATAATCATCTTCATTGCTGTTTATCCCTTGTTTTTGCTGTCATACCCTGCATAATCATTTTTAATTTTTTTGCTGTTAATCCCAACATAATCATTTTATTTTTACTGTTATTGTTACTGTTTTCATACGTTTTATCCTCCGGTCCCTTAATCGTCTTTGTTGCTCTTCTCTGCACTCTTTCCAGAGTCTCAGCATTTTAATTTTGAAAACGTTTCACTTTTCATCCAAGAAGCTTCTTCGGTTCTGAAGAACCTCCTTGGATGAGAAGCAAAATGTTTTGAAAGAAGAAAACCAAGAAAAAAAACCAAGAAGGTGGAAAAAGCACCTTTGAGACATCCCTTCAAGTTCTTTGATTCCACATTTCAAAATCTCCTTTGCTTGAAAAAGAAGGTTGGGTGCAACCATCCACCTGAGCCAAATTTGTCACCTGTTTGAAGATCTTGTTGTAGAGTGCACAACACAGCAGAGGTTCTTGGGTCTTCAATTCCGTCTCGGTGAATTCAGCACCAAAGAACAACCCAATCTGGAGTAAAATGGGACCAGGTGTCAGGCTGAAGCCTGAAGACAGCGAGACCCAATCGAGTCAGGGGGATGGACTAGAAGACCTCCAAGTTCCCTTCCTATCCTATTATTCTGTGTTCTACATTCTCGGAGTCCAATTCTTTATTAGTCTGCATCTAAAGGATGGAATCTTGCCAGACTGAAGCTGTAACCTTCTAACCTGCTATATATATTGTATATATTTATATCCTGAGAGATTATACCATAGAGTGTGGCTCCCAGCTCCCCCATCCAGCTTGGGATCGATAAAAGAGAATCTTCATAGCTCGGGGTTGAACTGTGTGGGTCTTGGTGCCCTCTGAGCTTGGTGATTTTCTTGCAGACATTGCATGACCCAAGTAGGTAACATCATCAGTGCTAGAAGGGAGTGGGATTTTCAGAGAGGAGGAGGAGGAGGAGGAGGAGGAGGAGGAGGAGGAGGAGGAAGGAGGAGGAGGAGGAGGAGGAGGAGGAGGAGGAGGAATTGTGGGTTCCTTGGTGCTGTCTGAGCTTGGTGGTTTTCTTGCAACATTTCATGACCAAGCTAGATAATATCATCAGTGCTAGAAGGGGGAGAATTTGCAGGGGTGGGGAGGAAGGAGAGGAGGAGAGGGAGGAGGAGGAGGAGGAGGAGGAGGAAGGAAGTTGGAGATTGGAGAAGGAGAAAGAGAAGGAGAAGGAGAAGGAGGAGAAGGAGAAGGGGAGAAGGAGAAGGAGAAGGAGAAGGAAGGAAGATGGAGATTGGAGAAGGAGAAAGAGAAGGAGAAGGAGAAAGAGAAGGAGAAGGAGAAGGAGAAGGAGAAGGAGAAGGAGAAGGAGAAGGAAGGAAGATGGAGATTGGAGAAGGAGAAGGAGAAGGAGAAGGAGAAGGAGAAGGAGAAGGAGAAGGAGAAGGAGAAGGAGAAGGAGAAAGAACTGTGGGTTCCTTGGTGCTCTCTGAGCTTGGTTGTTTTCATGCAGACATTTCATGACCCAACTAGGTAACCTCATCAGTGCTAGAAGGGAGTGGGGTCTCTCAACTTATAGACAAGCGGCTTGCCCTGTTAGCATCCGTGGGGCTGTTCTTGGTGGTTTCCCGTGACCAACTCAGGCCAACGAGCCGACATCCAGCCCCGCCTAGCCAGCTCTGACCTTGTAAGTAGCACAGATCAAGATATTCTGATGCCGGTGATAGTAGACGGAAGAGATGGGGCAGTTGCCCAGAGGGACGTTCCGGCCATGAATCGACTGCAGGCAGAAGTGATCCAGCAGATCCCAGACGCGAATATTCTGGAGAGGGAAGAAGAGAAGATCTAGAAGGAAAGCAGATCCCATTCCCAAGCCAGGATCACCAGCCAAAAATCCAGTAGCGCAGTGTTTCTCAACCTTGGAAGCTTGAAGATGGGTGGGGGATTCTGGGAGTTGAAGTCCACCCATCTTCAAGCTTCCAAGGTTGAGAAACACTGCAGTAGAGGGAATCCTCGACTTACATTTCATTTAAAAGTTCAAAGTTACAGCGGCACTGAAAAAAAGTGACTTTTTCACACTTATGACGGTTGCAGCATCCCCATGGTCGCATGATCAAAATTCAGACGCTTGCACAAAATGTGCAGAACAAATATCAAATTAGGAAGTATCAAGTAGCTTTTCATTGAAAGTATTATATAAAAATAGAAATGTATGAATTTTGTGAAAATGAAAGATTACAAGGGGGTTTGAGGGGTTCAAGTTTTATAAAAAGGGGATTTTGATGGGATTAAACTCTGTGGAAGTTGGGGGGAGGGTTAGGGGGGCTTGGGGGGGTTAGGGTGGGGAGTGTGGGGTGGGGTGGGGGGGGAAAATGGGGTGAAAATGTAATTGTAAAACTTTTGCAATAAAAAAAAATAATTCAGACGCTTGGACACTGACGTTTATGATGGTCGCGGTGTCCTGGGGTCACATGATTCCCCTTTTACGACCATCTGACAAAGCCAAGTCAATGGGGAAGCCAGATTCATTTAACGACCGTGTTATTAATTTAAGAACGGCAGTGGTTCACTTAACAACCATGGCAATAAAAGGTCGTAAAATGAGGCAAAATTCACTGAACAGCAGTCTCTCACTTAGCAGCAGAATTTGGGGCTCCATGGTGGCCGTAAGCCGAGGACTTCTTGTGGGGAATGTCGATACTCAGTGTCACCCCCCAGATTGGAATTTAGTTTTTTGAGGTAGAAAAATGAAGCGGTCGTAAGTCGAGGACTGCTCAATATACAGTCATAATTGGGCCCAGATTTTCTGTTGTAAGTCAGGACGGTCATAAAGCAAGTCATTGCATGACCAGACCTGATTTCATGACCATTTTTACCACGGTCACTAAACGAATCCAGTCTCCCTGGTTGACGTTATTTGTCAATAATAATAATAATGATTGCCAGCTGCCCAAATTCTGCCAGGCTGGGCTATCAATGTAAAGATTTTAATCGGTTTTAAATATGGGATTTTAAATTTGGGGGTTTTATAATTGAGCCAATTATTTAATAATTTTAAATTATTTTTAAATTTTGTCTGTGCTTTTAATCAGGCTGTACACAGCCCTGAGTCCTTCGGGAGAAGGGCGGTATAGAAATAAAATTAATAAATAAATAAATAATTAATAAATTGTGATTGTGGGACTAGGAGATTGCTGTGACGGTCGTACGTGCGAGGACGGACAATAAATCACTTTTCCCAAGCCCATCCTAACTTTGAACCATCGTTAAACGAAACATCGTAAGTCGGGGGCTATCTTTATAAGCTCCCTCTGCCTCACCTTGTCTTTTGAGATGCTGACGATGGTTTTCTTCTGCCCGTTGATCATGATGTGAGTGACAGCTGTCAAGTGGCCCTTGAGCTGAGTGATGGGACTGTTGGTGACGTACGGATTCCAGATTCGGATCAGGGGATCGTAGCCCCCAGTCACTGGTAAGAGAAGACCAAAATAAGGAGCCTGGATAGCTCAACAGACAGAAGCACTGTAATTTAACACCAGCTGCCTGCAATTTCTGCAGGTTCGAATCTCCCCAGGCTCAAGGTTGACTCAGCCTTCCATCCTTTCTAAGGTAGGTGAAATGAGGACCCAGTTTGTGGGGGCAATAAGCTGACTTTGTATAAAATATACAAAAGGATGAAGGCTATTGCTTAACGCATTGTAAGCCGCCCTGAGTCTCCGGAGAAGGGCGGCATATAAATCGAACAAATAAATAAATAAATAAATAAATAAACTTCAAACAATTGCTGAACAAATGAGCTCTGGTGGCTTAGCAGACTAATTAACATCCACTTACATCTGCTGCCTGCAATTACTGTAAGTTTGAATCTCCCCAGGCTCAAGGTTGACTCAGCCTTCCATCCTTTCTAAGGTAGGTAAATTGAGGACCCAGTTTGTGGGGGCAATAAACTGACTTTGTATAAATATACAAAAATATGAAGGCTATTGCTTAACGCATTGTAAGCCGCCCTGAGTCTCCGGAGAAGGGCGGCATATAAATCAATTTTTTTTAAAAAATCGTCTTTGGTTTGATTAGAAGAAACACCTCAATGCACCCAAAATGCGCCCATTGGGAGGCAGCAGGTGAGCCTTTCAAAGGAGGGGCTGAGGAACACCTACCCACAATGTTCATTTCGGCAGAGTAATCAAAGCACAGAATCCCCTTCCGCAGGACAATCAAAGCCGACCTGGGGAAACAGGAAACAGCCTTGATTTAATTCAATCTTTAGTGGCATCTTAGGGTTTTTAAATTGCAATAAACCACCCTGTTATTTCTTTGGGTTCCAAGTATTGTATAGAATAGAATAGAATAGAATAGAATAGAATAGAATAGAATAGAATAGAATAGAATAGAATAGAATAGAATAGATAATGGAATGGAATAATGGAATGAAGAAGAGAAGAGAAGAGAAGAGAAGAGAAGAGAAGAGAAGAGAAGAGGAAGAGAAGAGAAGAGAAATAGAATAGAACAGAACAGAACAGAACAGAACAGAACAGAACAGAACAGAACAGAATAGAATAGATAATGGAATGGAATAATGGAATGAAGAATAGAATAGAATAGAATAGAATAGAATAGAATAGAATAGAATAGAATAGAACAGAACAGAACAGAACAGAACAGAACAGAATAGAATAGAATAGATAATGGAATGGAATAATGGAATGAAGAATAGAATAGAACAGAACAGAACAGAACAGAATAGAATAGAATAGAATAGAATAGAATAGAATAATGGAATGAAGAATAGAACAGAATAGAATAGAATAGAATAGAATAGAATAGAATAGAATAGAATAGAATAGAATAGAATAGAATAGAATAGAATAGAACAGAACAGAACAGAATAGAATAGAATAGAATAGAATAGAACAGAACAGAACAGAACAGAATAGAATAGAATAGATAATGGAATGGAATAATGGAATGAAGAACAGAACAGAACAGAACAGAACAGAACAGAACAGAACAGAACAGAACAGAATAGAATAGAATAGAATAATGGAATGAAGAATAGAACAGAATAGAATAGAATAGAATAGAATAGAATAAAATAGAATAGAATAGAATAGAATAGAATAGAATAGAATAGAATAGAATAGAATAGAATAGAATAGAATAGAATAGAACAGAACAGAACAGAACAGAATAGAATAGAATAGATAATGGAATGGAATAATGGAATGAAGAATAGAATAGAACAGAACAGAACAGAACAGAACAGAACAGAACAGAACAGAACAGAACAGAACAGAACAGAATAGAATAGAATAGAATAGAATAGAATAATGGAATGAAGAATAGAACAGAATAGAATAGAATAGAATAGAATAGAATAGAATAGAATAGAATAGAATAGAATAGAATTCTTTATTGGCCAAGTGTGATTGGACACACAAGGAATTTGTCTTGGTGCATACACTCTCAGTGTAAAGTGTACATTGTATTTGTAGAACAAGGTGACTGGGGAAGTTCTGGAGGGTGAGCACCTCGAGTTATGTGTAAAGTAATAGAAGGGGGAAAGGAGGAATGGAAGGGGGGAAGAGGAAGGAAGGAAGGAAGGAAGGAAGGAAGGAAGGAAGGAAGGAAGGAAGGAAGGAAGGAGAGTTGGGAGGGAGAGATGTAGAGAGGGAGGAAGAGAGGGAGGGAGGGGAGAGAGAGATGAGAGAAGGAATAAGGGAGGTAGCAATGAAGAAAACAAAGGAGAAAGGAAGGAGAAACAGTGATTAGGAAAGGAGGGAGTGAGGGGAAGGAAAGAAGGAAGGAAGGAAGGAAGAAAAGAGAAGAGAAGAGAAGAGAAGAGAAGAGAAGAGAAGAGAAGAGAAATAGAATAGAACAGAACAGAACAGAACAGAACAGAACAGAACAGAACAGAACAGAATAGAATAGATAATGGAATGGAATAATGGAATGAAGAATAGAATAGAATAGAATAGAATAGAATAGAATAGAATAGAATAGAACAGAACAGAACAGAACAGAACAGAACAGAATAGAATAGAATAGATAATGGAATGGAATAATGGAATGAAGAATAGAATAGAACAGAACAGAACAGAACAGAATAGAATAGAATAGAATAGAATAGAATAGAATAGAATAGAACAGAACAGAACAGAACAGAACAGAACAGAACAGAATAGAATAGAATAGAATAATGGAATGAAGAATAGAACAGAATAGAATAGAATAGAATAGAATAGAATAAAATAGAATAGAATAGAATAGAATAGAATAGAATAGAATAGAATAGAATAGAATAGAATAGAGTAGAGTAGAGTAGAGTAGAGTAGAGTAGAGTAGAGTAGAGTAGAATAGAATAGAATAGAATAGAATAGAATAGAATAGAATAGAATAGAATAGAATAGAATAGAATAGAATAGAATAGAATAGAATTCTTTATTGGCCAAGTGTGATTGGACACACAAGGAATTTGTCTTGGTGCATACACTCTCAGTGTAAAGTGTACATTGTATTTGTAGAACAAGGTGACTGGGGAAGTTCTGGAGGGTGAGCACCTCGAGTTATGTGTAAAGTAATAGAAGGGGGAAAGGAGGAATGGAAGGGGGGGAAGAGGAAGGAAGGAAGGAAGGAAGGAAGGAAGGAAGGAAGGAAGGAAGGAAGGAAGGAAGGAGAGTTGGGAGGGAGAGATGTAGAGAGGGAGGAAGAGAGGGAGGGAGGGGAGAGAGAGATGAGAGAAGGAATAAGGGAGGTAGCAATGAAGAAAACAAAGGAGAAAGGAAGGAGAAACAGTGATTAGGAAAGGAGGGAGTGAGGGGAAGGAAAGAAGGAAGGAAGGAAGGAAGGAAGAAAAAGAAAGAAAGAAAGAAGGGAGGGAGGGAGGGAGATGAGAGAGAAGGAAAAAAGGAGGGAGGGAGGGAAAGAAAGAAGGGAGGGAGGGAGGGAGAGAGGAAAGAGAGATGAAAGAGAGAAGGAAGAAAGGAGGGAGGGAGGGAGGAAAGAGAAAGATGAGAGAAGGAAGGGAAGGAGGTGGGAAGGAGGGAGGGATGAAGGAAGGAATTAAGAGATGGGGAAGGAAGGAAGGAAGGAAGGATGGAGGGACAGAAAGAAAGAAAGAAAGAAAGAAAGAAAGAAAGAAAGAGAAAGAAAGAAAGAAAGAAAGAAAGAAAGAAAGAAAGAAAGAAAGAAAGAAAGATGTTCTATTATTCCATGCTCCATGTTCTAATTATACACTAAGCAACACTGCCCCCTGCCGTTCAATCTCCCATATTGCAACGTGGGATTCTTGCAATTGGTAATGTAACTTTTAATCTAAATGTATGAACTTGGCAATACTGTAAGAATCCGGGGAGATACGATCTTAGGAGGAAAAAGGCCTGCTACTTGTGATGTCAATTATTGCTCCCTCCACTTCCAGCAGAAGACATGGATGCTGTCTTCCGAAACCGAATTCCAGATCTCTCAAAGATGCATGAAATTGCAGGATGAAGGATTTAAATTACCCTGACTGACATCTGCTGAAAGACAAACCCAGCCAAGCATAGTCTGTTCAGGAAATGGCTCATTGATGACTTTCTCCATCAAGAGTGGAAGAATACAGAATAACAGAGTTGGAAGGGACCTTGGAGGTCTTCTAGTCCAACCCCCTGCCCAGGCAGAAAACCCTACACCACTTCAGACAAATGGTTATCCAACATCTTCTTAAAAACCTTCACTGATGGAGCATCCACAACTTCTGAAGGCAGGTTGTTCCACTGGTTAATTGTTCTCACTGTCAGGAAATTTCTCCTTAATTCCAGGTTGCTTCTCTCCTTGATTAGTTTCCACCCATTGCTTCTTGTTCTACTCTCAGGAGCTTTGGAATAGCCTGACTCCCTCTTCTTTGTGGCAGCCCCTGAGATATTGGAAGACTTTCTATCATGTCTCCCCTAGTCCTTCTTTTCACCAAACTAGACCTATCCAATTCCTGCAACCGTTCTTCATATGTTTTAGCCTCCAGTCCCCTAATCCTCTTGGTTGCTCTTCTCTGCACTCTTTCTAGAGTCTCCACATCTTTTTTACATCGTGGCCACCAAAACTGGGTGCCATATTCCAAGTGTGGCCTTACCAAGGTCTTATAAAGCGGCATTAACACTTCACGGGATCTTGATTCTATCTCTCTGTTGATGCAGCCCAGAACTGTGTTGGCTTTTTTGGCAGCTGCTGCACACTCTTGGCTCCTATTGAAGTGATTGTCCACTAGGACTCCAAGATCCCTCTCACAGTTACTACTATTGAGGAAGGTACCACCTATACTGCACCTGTGCATTTTGTTTTTCTTGCTTAAATGTAGAACCTTACTCTTTTTTTTTTTTAAGCAATTGTCCACTAGGACTCCAAGATCCCACTCGCAACTCTGTTTTGTGAACCAAAGATAAGTTTTTTTTAAAAAAGTTTCTTTCAACGTATTAATAACAAGGGGAAAAAGTCAAGGAAACAGACAGTCCACTAAAGGGAGAAGATGGCAAGGAAGTAACAGGCAGTAGGGAGAGAGCAGAGCTGCTCAACTCGTCCTTTGCATCGGTCTTCACGCAAAAAGAAATTATAGCCTCTCTTACTGGATTTTCCCGATGTTATGCAGGGGGAGAGAGGTCAGCGCCATGGCAGATTTCTCAGCCGGTGTGCAGGAAGCAACCAAATTGAGCTGGGGAATGTACATCACCTGTTGACACCAGTCTCCGTGCACAGCCTGCAGAAGTTGGGGAGAAGAGAGGAGTCAACTTTGTAGCACAGAGCCTTGGTAGCACAGTGGACTAATGCACTGTTATTAACATCTGCTGCCTGCAGTTACTGCAGGTTCAAATCCCACCAGGCTCAAGGTTGACTCAGCCTTCCATCCTCCCGAGGTAGGTAAAATGAGGACCCGGATTGTGGGGGCAATAAGCTGACTTTGTATAAAAAAGAACACCGCTGGGGGGGGGGCGAAAGCCCTACTAAGCAGGTATATACAAAAATATGAAGGCTATTGCTTAACGCATTGTAAGCCGCCCTGAGTCTCCGGAGAAGGGTGGCATATAAATCGAACCAATAAATAAATATAATAAATAAACTTCAAACAATCGCTGAACAAATGAGCTCTGGTGGCTCAGCAGACTAATTAACATCCACTTACATCAGCTGCCTGCAATTACTGCAGGTTCGAATCTCTCCAAGGCTCAAGGTTGACTCAGCCTTCCATCCCTTCTAAGGTAGGTGAAATGAGGACCCAGATTGTGGGGGCAATAAGCTGACTTTGTATAAATATACAAAAAGTATGAAGGCTATTGCTTAACGCACTGTAAGCCGCCCTGAGTCTCCGGAGAAGGGCGGCATATAAATTAAAGCAAAAAACAACAACAAAAAACAACAACTGTGCACCAGCAATGTCTAGGCTAGGGAAGGACAATTCACAGAGACCGTGGGGTCAGTGGTAGGATTCAAATTTTTTTACTACCGGTTCTGTGGGTGTGGCTTGGTGGGCGTGGCTTGGTGGGGGTCATATGACTGAGTGGGTGTGGCCAAGTCAACGAAGCAGGCGGGCAAGCAACCGGGCAACCGGGCGGGGGCAAGGCCAGCCAGAGGTGGTATTTGCCGGTTCGGCGAACCAGTTAAAATTTCCGCTACCGATTCGCCCGAACCGGTTGAATGCCACCTCTGCATGGGGTCCTTGGTGCTCTCTGAGCTTGGTTGTTTGCTGCCAGACGTTTTGTGACCCAACTAGGGAACATCATTAGTGCTGGAAGGGAATGGGATGTGTGATTTTGCCATCTTGTCATTTTTCCAGGTTCTTGAAGTATCCCCAATACCTGCGAAATTCTTTTATGGGAGACAAAACCACTGTAGAATAAATTGAAAGACAGTATAAGCAACACCCCAAATCCAGCTGTCAAACTACAAGGTTTAATCCGGGCTGGATAGCGTGAGAATTCAGTGAATATTTAATGGGCTCCAACAAATTATACAGCAGTCCGTTTTCGTAGCATCATAGAAATCTAGAGCTGGAAGGGACCTTGGAGGTCTTCTAGTCCAACCCCATGCCCAAGACAGGAGACCTTAATCCATCCCAGTAAATAGAAAGAGCCGGCATAGTCATATTCCACTCAGTATCAAAGATGCAGCTGTAGACGTGGTGAACAGTATTATGTATCTGGGGGTGGAGATAACCAATAATCTGGATGTCAGCATTCTGATGCTGCCATAAAAAGACGAGGCTTGACTTTTCACCTACTTATTTTCTCTGTAGATAATATCCCCTAGGAGATGGGATGGGAGGGGAACATTCCTGTGGGCTGAGGTCAGAAGCGGGGGAGACTGACTTGGAAGATGGCCAATGAGAAGATGAGAGTTGGGGAACGGAAAGGGAAGGGTTTGGGGGTCAGAGGGTTAAACATATCGGCTACGACGAAGTCGGGGCCAGATCTGTCGTACTCAATAAATGGAATATTTCAGCAAAGATTAATTGTTTGGGAGTGCAATTTATTTGAGATGACATCGAAACCTGACACTGAACTTGTCTCTCCACAGGTCATCCTTAGTGAAGCATGCAAACCAGCATCCTGCATCGGATGAAGAGAGCACATTTTTCTCCTTCTGTCCTGGCCACTTTTTACAGAGACACAACGGAGAGCATTTTAACCAACTGCATCCCTGTTTGGTTTGCTGGCAGCAGCAGCAGCGCCACAGATAGAAAGTCCCTACAGAGAATGGTGAGGACAGTGGAGAGGAACATAGGAAGCTCGCTTCCCGTTACTCAGGATGCTGCTTACAAGCTCTATGTACGTAGAGTTCAAAATCTTGTTAGAGACCCCACACACCCACTTTACGGTCTGTTTCTGTTGCTCCCCTCTGGGAGCAATGTATGCCGATTAGCGTACAAGTTATTATTCTATTCCATTCCATTCCATTCCACTTCATTCCATATACTAATATTCTATTCTGTTCTGTTCTGTTCTGTTCTGTTCTGTTCTGTTCTGTTCTTCTATTCTATTCTATTCTATTCTATTCTATTCTATTCTATTATTCTATTATTCTATTCCACTTTACTCTACTCTACTCTATTCATATTTTTATGTATTCATTTATTCTGTCATGGTTATGTAGTGTATATTGGAGGTGTGTGACCCTTTGAGAGCTGTATACAACAAAATTTCATTTTAATGTATGCCGATTAGTGTGCATTCAAAGTGACAATAAAGTTTATTCTATATTCTATATTCTATATTCTATATTCTATATTCTGTATTCTGTATTCTGTATTCTGTATTCTATATTCTATATTCTATTCAAATAGATGTCCAATCTCTTTTGAAAAGCCTCCAGTGAGGGAGCATCCACAACTTTTGAAGGCAAGTCGTTTCACTGATTCATGGCGAAGCACACAAAAATGAAAAGCAGAGAGTCGTGAACTGCCCCACCTCATTGTCACCTGCACAACCAAGAAACGGGTCCCTGAACACAGTTGGGGCCCCTGAACTGGTCTTTAGGACCCCATAAAAGCCCAGCAGGATCGGGGCCACCCTGATTTCTGGAAGGGGAATATTTTGCAAAGTTCTGAACAGAATTTGGCCATCGCAATGGGAACACCATGTTAAGAAGGGACACTGTAAGGTCTCCAAGAGACTGGTTGATGCTGGATTACCTCTTCCTAGGAATTTAGTAAAGAGAATTGTGGGTTTTGAGAGCAATAATACTCATCCTAACTCCAGACTGGACTGGGAGAGAGGGGGGGAGAAAAAGAGACAGAGGGAGGGAGAGGGAGAGGGGGGGAGAGAGAAAGGGAGGGAGGGAGAAAGAGAGAGAGAGAGAGAAAGAGGGAGAGGGAGAAAGAGGGAGAATGAGAGGGGGAGAAAGAGAGGGAGAGAAAGGGGGGAGAGAGGGAGGGAGAGAAAGAGAGGGAGAGAAAGAGAGGGAGAGAGAAAGTGAGGGAGAGGGAGAGAGAGACAGAGAGGGAGGGAGAGAAAGAGAGGAGAAGAGAAGAGAGAGGGAAAGGGAGAAAGAGAGAGGGAAGGAGAGAGAAAGAAACAGAGGGAGAATGACAAAGAGAGGGAGAGGGAGAGAAAGAGAGAGGGAGGGAGAAAAAGAGACAGAGGGAGGGAGAGGAAGAGAGGGGGGAGAGAAAGAGACAGAGGGAGGGAGAGGGAGAGAGGGGGGGAGAGAAAGAGAGAGGGAGGGAGAAAAAGAGACAGAGGGAGGGAGAGGGAGAGAGGGGGGAGAGAAAGAGAGGGGGGGAGAGAAAGGGAGGGAGGGAGAAAGAGAGAGAGAAAGAGGGAGAGGGAGAAAGAGGGAGAAAGAGGGGGAGAAAGAGAAAGAGAGAAAGGGGGGAGAGGGAGGGAGAGAAAGAGAGGGAGAGAGAAAGTGAGGGAGAGGGAGAGAGAGACAGAGAGAGAGGGAGAGAGGGAGAGAAAGAGAGAGGAGAAGAGAGAGGGAAAGGAAGAAAGAGAGAGGGAAGGAGAGAGAAAGAAAGAGAGGGAGAATGACAAAGAGAGGGAGAGGGAGAGAAAGAGAGAGGGGGAGAGACAGGGAGCGAGAGAAAGAGACAGAGAGAGACAGAATGACAAGAGAGAC